GAGTTTAGTTTGTAACTAAGTATCTATCAGTAGCTCTTGGCCTAAGGGTATTAAAAGATTTAATAATTTTCCAAATTTCCTTGGAATCTATTTTCCAAATTAAGCTGTGGTTCAAGTTCTTCCATGAAAATTAAGGATCTGTGAAAATTAAGGATACTAAAGAAACCAGGAAAAATGCATCTATCTTGAACAATGTATCTTTTTGATAACGTTTGATATACAATAACTGTCTAACTACATAGGAAGGTGACTGAATGGTTCCAAATGGAATTATAAACAGGTTTGGCCAAATGTCCATTGGTTGATATCTGCTATAAACAGTCTTAAAGTAGATAAGATTAGTTAGCAGTTATATAACAAGAAGGGAGACAATGACAGTAGACAGAAGCAACAACACTGAAGTGGTAAGAATTTAAAAATATGGAACTAAAACATCACTTGAAGTTAGCAGCTGAGGTTATGACACATTTTCTAGTGATCCTAACTCTTAGAGTATATTGAGAGTTAAGTTTTATATGAACATGACTACTAGGTTAAGAAACTGGGAATCAGTAATATGTTTCAATTTAGAAACTTTGGGGTGCAGTTATTTGTGTTTTAACAAACCTTCCAGGTAATTTTGATGCATGCTAATATTTGAGAAAGCCTAGGGTTAAACTGTAATGACTTCCACAAAGATCACAAAATCAAATACTTAAAGATCAATATGGGCCCAAAGCTTTTGTTTTCTTCCTGAGAATTTCCTTCTTAGGATACTAGTAAGCATGACCACTGTTGACAGACATGTTTTATATCCTGACCTTCAAGGGGAATATTTGCATGAAAATTAAAACTTGCAATTTGTAAAGGAACAGACTATTCTAGAGTTGGAAGGGGAGTTCAATAACCTGAAAGATACAAAACTAAAAAAGAATAAAATATTGTCATTTTTAAAATTGGGGGTATATCAGGAGTTCTACTTCTTCTTGGATATAGATAGCTGGAACTAGTGTTGCTTCTACCCCAACAACAAGAAAAACCCATGTAAACTTTAAAAATCACAACTTCGCTGAACACATCAAAGAGCTGAAGTCACTAGTCAACCAAGTAATATGTAATGCACTGAATCTCAGCCCCCTCCAAGGAGAAATGAGACACAAGCTCCTGCTCACCAGTGGCAGACCATGGAAGGAAGAGATGTGCTGGGTGCCATACAACCAGGCAACAAGTAGTCAGCTATAATTCTTAATAAACTGGTAGAAGTCAGGTGTGGACTAGAGTTAAGAATATAAAGCCCCTGGGAGCTATAGACACATGGGATGTTAGAACCCACTTAAAGGCTCTTCTCTTGTTCATGAGAAAAATCATGGGCTGTTCAGAAGGCCAAATGTCTTCCTCGGTGTTGCAGGTTTGGAAGAGTGAAGTGGTCACTGCTGCGAGCAAAATATGAAGCCCTGATGCAACCCTTCCCTAGAAAACAAACCTTAAGCTCCTGGGAGAGGGAAAGAAAACCCTGTCACCACGAGGGCAAAGATACAGACCCACTGTAGCCAAGCAAAAAACAAAAAAACAAAATAAGATCAACAAAACCCCACAATAAACCATGTCTGCCTCTGGAGAAGCACTGGTCACAGGATCCTACAGCAAGAACAGTAGAGACCTATTACCACTCTGGAAGGGACAAGAAACTCTCATGGAAGACCCACCAGAGATATGAGATGGAGTTTGGTTGCCACAGAAGAAAGACACAGGACCACTGAGAAACGCCATCTCCAAGACCTAAATCTTCAGGGCCTACAGTGGAAGCTGTACTAAGACAATAGTGAACCCCTTGTCCTTGCCACCAGAGCAACAAGCACCCAGTAAGAAGAAACTGCAGTCTACCACTGGGGAAGGCAAAGTGTGAAGAGGAAAATAACTCATAGTGGAAATAAACAGGGAAGCTAAAGCTAAAGTAGAAACATTGTGAAATGCTGCTGAAATCCCAGCCTTCAATTAAAAAAAAAAAGGAATTTAAGGCCAATGGTGCACTAAAGACCATCATAGGAACAAGATAACCCAAATTCAGCTTTACTAACTAGATATTTCCTCAATACCATCCATTCCCACACACACACATGTGCTAATAGCCTCAGAAGAGATGTGTCAAGTTCCAGACATAAAGCCTCTACTGTCATCCACAGAATGCTGGTTATATAATAAAAAATTACAGGACACACAAAAAGAAAAAATACACTACTAAAACAGAAAATAACAAACAGAACAGACACAGACAAAACCCCTATGTTTAAACTATGAGACAGAAGTTAAGTAACTAAGATTGGGGCACCCAGATGGCTCTGTCAGACATGGAGCCTGCTTGAGATTCTCTCTCTCCATCTCCCTCTGCTCCCATCCCTGTCTGCATACTCTCTCTTTAAAAAAAATAAATTAAAATAACTATAATTACTATGCTAAAGATGATAGTAAAGGATCACTTTCTTATACTACACACAAAAATAAATCCAAAATAGATAAAGACCTAACAGTGAGACAGAAACCCATCAAAAATGCTAGAGGAGAACATAAGCAGCAACCTCTTTGACCTTGGCCACAGCAACTTTTTGCTAAACATGTCTCCAGAGGCAAGGAAGACAAAAGCAAGAATGAACTATTGGGACTTTATCAAAATAAAAAGTTACTGCACAGTGAAGGAAATGATCAACAAAACTGTAAGGTAGCTTACAGAATGGGAGAAGATATTTGCAAATTGTTTATCTGATAAAGGGTTACCATCCAAAAGAACTTATTTAATTCAACCACCTGAAAACCAAATAATCCAGTTAAAAAGTGGACAGAAGACCTCAGAGCTTATTCTATCTGTGCACATGCACAAGAAAGACCATTTGAGCATACAACAACAAAGTAGGGGTCTACAAACCAGGAGATGAGGCATTACCAGACACCAACCTGACAGCACCTTAATCTTAAACTTCTAGCCTCCAAAACTGTAAGAAAATATATTTTTTAATTGTTTTAGCCTCTCGGTCAGCCTCTCAAAATACCATTGACGGTATTTTGGTTTGGCCAACCCAAGCAAACTAATAAACATGAAAGCTATGATAATGAGTCAAATGAAAATGCTAGAATTAAAAAACATGGTAAGAGGGAAAAATAAGGTGTTAATAAGCTCACCAAGGAGACTCAAGAGAGCCAAAGAAATAATCACTGAACTTGAAGACAGGTCCACAGATATTTATGCAAACTTCGACTCAAGAGTGAAAGAAAAGTAACAGAGCACCCAAGATTATGGTATAATATAAAACAGCCTAGTATATGTGTAATTTGAATCACAGAAGGAAAGGAGAGACTATATTAAAAAAGAATTTTGTGAAGAAATAATGGCAGAGAATTTTCAGAAATTCTTAACAAACAACATAATACAGATGCAAGAAATTCAGAGAATTTTGAGAAAAATGAATCCCACAATATTTCTAAACACACGTACATGCCTAGATACATTATATTCAAACTTCTCATAAAAAAATGTTGAAGATAGCAATAGGGGAAAAAAAGGAATAAACATAGGATTTATAACAGGCTTATGAGAAACCATGAAAGTGAAAAAATAATGGGAGTCAGTGTTTAAAGTATAGACAAGAAAATGAAATTGTCATCCTAGAATTTTATACCCAATGAAAATATCCTTATAAAAAGTGATACCGCAGAGACATAACCTACACAAAATATAAAATGAATCTGTCTTCAGACAGAAGGAATGTTATAGCAGACAAAATGTGGATCTACAAAACACAATGTCTTCAGAAAAATCTATTTTCCAATTTCTTTAGCTAATCGCACTGTTAAAAAGAACACAGCCCATAAGCTTCAGAATGGTCCTCTCAATCAGGACCTTGGACAGGACTGGCAAATAATCATGTTCCCACAATACTGTCACCTTACCATCTAGTGCCTTTCCAAACAGTGGCTAAAATAAACTGATGTTTCTGTTTGGATAGATATTTACTGATATTTTACAAATACAGTGATTGCAAGAAACTCCAGGTAGCTGTGAAGGTCTTGGTGACTTTCTCTAATTTTATTATTATAATGTCACATATAAGTAATGCTTCTCCCCCTTCCCACCAAATTCATTGAAAAGAAGGTTAAAAACAAAGTTTTAAGATTAACCTAATGGCTGGACTGGTCCAGTAAGCTACCATATGTTAGACTGGTAGCTTCTTCCTCAAGACAATGTCTTGTCCTTTATTATGATGCCACTGGACTGTCCTGAGCCTTGCTGGCTAACATTTCCTCCTGATTTTGACAATAGCATTTATGGAAAATTATTAAAATTTCTATATTCTTATTATTATTTCCTTACATTATACTCTTCAACTATCTGCAGCCTGTGATAAAACTTAATATATATTACCAGATGATCAGGACAGAACACAAGACAAAGAACACAGGAGGAAAGACAAACATTAAATTCATATTTGAATTTAGGGGAGTTCTAAGGATACCAGTATCCATCTAGGGAAGGCAATGATGTTATGAAAAAATGATTTGTCATTACAAGACAACATTTTTTATAAAAAATACATGCATTTCATCTATGAGGTATATAGAATTGACACAAGCAGTACTATGTTATGTTTATGTGAACAGTTATTTTATTTCTTTCTTGCTGACTTTCAGATGATTTCTTGTTCCTTTCTTTATCTTCCCCTCTTGGAAAGATCATGATCAATATCATGTTAGGAAGTAGAGCCTACTGTTCTGCAGTAACTTTGATAATGCCTTTTAAATCATCAAGGATAAGGACATCATATGAGAACTGTTTGGCTGCCATTACTACATCTTGATCGAGGAAAGCAGGGATTTGTTCAGTGTAAGCAGGAAAGCATAAGAAAGAAAATCTTTTCCAGCTTCCCACTAATTCAATTCTATTAAATAAATATTCATTTTACTTCCATGTGCTGGCCACTAAAGACAAGGGCAGTCAGCTTAACAGAAAGAAGAAGGACGAGCTCACTTACTAATTTGATTCGGTGGCCAGGAGTGGTACTGATTTCCCAAGTGCATTCCTTCCTGCTTGGGTACTTGTCTGGCCAGTTGGGGCTGGTGATGAAGCCACTTGGACTGTGGATCTTCTGTTCACACTCAGCTGTGCCGATAACAATAATATCAATCAGTGTGGAAATCTAGCCCAGGATTGGTTTAGCAAGAAAGTAGCTTATTTGCCCCCTATGCTGCGGAAAGATTTTCCTGAATACTAACTAATCACCACTCCAGTCTCTGTTATCATAGTCGTCTGCTTTGGCAAACATGTCACTGATCATAATCAGGCAATGTTTGTTTTCTAGATCACATGAAATTAAGTGTTTACAGTGAATTAGGTAAATTCCTAAAAGAAAATGGAATAGTTTAAAATGCTGGATCTGAAAGCTCCAATTTTAACAAAGCAACATATATTGACAATTGAGGTTATCAACACTTGGCATGTGCAGAATATTTAATGCAATGCTACAAATGATAATCAATGGACTATGCCATTTTCAATTCATCTTTTTCTATTAGCAGAAACATCATTTACAGCTAATTAACAGCATTAAGCCACTTTATGGATCATGTATTTACATTTTCTCTCACCCTTAAACACTTGAATACCTAAACCATAATTTTAGCTGCCGAAGTAAATTAACCCTAATTTTATCAAAGTAAAATGCAGCACTAAGGAGAAAAATAAGTGAACAGCTACTAGCCATGGAAATAGCTTCTAAACTGATTTTGAAAGCTATTTCCTTCAATTGTTATGAAATTTCTTTCATAATTTCTTTCACAATTTCTTTTCACAATTTCTTTCACAATTAAAATGACCTTACCTTAAAGGAGACTATTCCACATTGTAAATATCAAACTTCAAAAATGTTTAATGTCAAAAAAATTTTTAATATCCTCAGGTTCTGCCCATTCTCTGTAACTTATGAAGCAGCCCCCTACACATTTTAGTTTAGACAGGGAACTATTTGTTGTGTATTATGTATCCCATTCTAAAACAACTAATTCTCTGAAATTTTCCAAGAAATCTCTTTGGGGAAATTCTTTACTATATGGACAAAATACCTGTTACACTGTAGGGCTATGCAATAAGGGTATAATGCCCAACATAAATGTGTTGTTGCATTCCTTACGACTAGATCTTTCTTTTAATTGTGATAGGTTTCCATAGGATATTTGGCTCCTAACATAGGAATACAAAAATAAGAGAAGAAATTCAGCTCCTTTCAAACAATGTAGGATCATGTAACAAGTCTCAGAATCCAGATCTTAACGAGTTTCTAAGTTCAATTTTTCCTATTCTTGCTTTACCATATGAAATATGGAGTCCCCAGGATATGGAAATAGCCTATAAGTCAAAGCCAGGAGCCTAACTACTAAACTGTGGAAGGTGTCCATACATAGCAGAGGAAAAAGAAAATCCTAACCCTTTACTGGCAGTAAAAATGAACTTTATTAGGGATACCTAAATACCATTCTATCTAAAACTAAGTTTCCTATGAAATCCTTTCTTGAAAATATATACTATAATAAGGAATTAAGGTCCCAGTTTATGGTTGTTACTTGTAAGTCATAGGGTATATGCATACTCTGCAAAAGCTGTCTCTTTTTTCTCTGAATTATCTTCCATAACTGCAAAATAACTGGACTATTCCCCAGCATGTTGAATTTGACAGAATACTGTGCTAAGTTATAAATATCAGAGCCCTTACGGGTTTATCTTCATATAAGAAAGTAAAAAGAGGGGAAAAAATCCTGCTTGCATATGATTCTGAGCAATATCATTGGTTCAGTGAAAAAAAAAATAGAAAAAAAAAACTGACACGTGACAATATTTGAAAGGAACTGAATGGAACAAGGGTCAGTTCAGGATATCCTGTACTATTCCAATGTTCATACAAAGAGCTGCTATCTAACTGTGATTCTAGCCAGGAACCTACCAATCTCTATGATATAGCTAGTAACTAAAGTTATAAAATCTGCCATTATAATTCTTCCAAATTGGGCATAAATCCAAATTAAGTAGAAAACTGAGGAGCAGACCCTCAAAGGATGAAATAAGAACCAAGTAACTGTTTCTTGTTCCCATCTACCTCAAACTGGCTAAGGAGATAAAGGTATATATTTATAAAAATATAAAATCAGAATATTATAAGATGTTGGGGACAAAAACTGATAGACTACTATTGTGCTATTGGGATGGGTTTTTGTTTTTTTTTAATTTTTTGTTTTGTTTTGTTTTGTTCTGTTTTGCTTTGTTTGGTCAAACCTATGACTTAGAACTTTAAGTGGCATAGTATCTACCATTTTCAAATATTTTTCTTCTGGTAGGCATTTGAGTTTGATACGCTTGGTATTTAAAGTGCCATCACTCATGTAGCACTTACGTGAGATATTCTGGGGAGGGAAATTAAACCAAATGCGAAACATTTAGCAGAAGTCGAGTTTAAATATGGAGACTGTTATAGGGTCTCTTCTACAAGAACCTGGGCATAATGTGGAGCTTTTTTGGCTGCCAGATGGCATCATAGCCACTTCGATGTCTTTTACACAAAGTTATTCTAATGCCACCCATATGTGAAGTGCAGAACCTTTAGGTATTATGAGGTTTCCAATATTATGCCTTGGATATCTCAACACTGCACTTTTTTTTTTTTTTTTTGACATTTGAATAGTCAACAATGATATCAGTCATTGATATGATTAACTCTACTTGGAAGCAGTGCTTGACCCAGACTACATGAAATTCCAGATGTTGTCAAGAAAAGAACACTCCTTCATACCTTCCTTGCAGTCATGTTTATTTTCATGCAGCACAAATCCGTTACGGCACTGACACATGTAGCTTCCCATGGTGTTGACACACTCATGTTGACACCCACCATTATCCTTAGAGCATTCATCTTTGTCTAGCAAAAAGATAACCCCACAGTTTAGTAAATAGCTTTAGAAACAAAGGGTAACAAAGGAGAGTCTTTTAGTTGTGGTTAACACTGGCAAAGGGTAAACTAAGTCACAGCTTTCTTTGATCCCAACGTAAAACAAAACCCCCCAAATTTTTAGTGTCTTAGTTTTACCCATTCCTTGTTTAGCTTGGAGCCCTGTACCATGAATTGAGTTTTTAACACTGCTGACTCTAAGCTAACAATTCACAGCCTCTTTCACTCCAATGCTGGAGTAGGAGTTTTGAGTAGGAGACAGGAAATGAATGAATCCCTTTCCAACTAACCTTAAACATTTATTGCCAATTTTTAAAAATAAATTTAAAATCGTGAGTATTTTGAATAAATGCAAGAACTGGTGATGTATTATATATTATATACTATATATATATAAATGCAAGAACTTCAATATATTAGCCATGGTGTAGAGACAGAGACTAAACAAGGTTCCAGAATTTATATATAATCACTTTAAAAAAAATCACTCAGTATGACTACTGCAGTTGATTTTTTTGTTGTTGTTAACTTTGCTGTTATGGTTAGCACTAATGAATCTGAATACTTCATAACCATCCAAGACAGAAAAAGGCATCATTAGATTATCCTAAAGAAGTAATTTAATTTATATATTTGAAACAAATCTACTCCAGCAGACCAGTTTATTAATAAATGATTCCCTGAAAAGGCTCTTAGTGTGCTAGAGGTAAAGGTTAGAATAGGAAATAAGAGCTTTAAGAAATAGCCAGCACATTCACTACAGGGAAAAAGGCCAAACTAAATTAGCAGGCAGTCAATCCAGTGAGAGGCATCAGCCACCATGCTATGTCACTCAGCTGTCATTCCATGGCTGGCTTGTCCATTAAAGTCAAAACTGGCAGATCGCTCCTGACACACATAGATGATGACACATCACTCAGACTTTCATCACTCCCACAGCATAGAGAATGAAAAGGACACATGACAGTCATATCAGAGGTGTGTTGAATTCAAATTTTATACTGTCAACTGATTTTTCCAATGACAATTTGTGAGCTCACAGTAGCACACAGATAGCTAAAGCTATTTTTGCCTTTTTATCAAATCAATATTCACTCTATGGAAATGGGCTTAGGAAAAGCATTTTTATAGAAGAATCTGATCATAATTTTTAAGGACATATCTATTTTTTTTCCATTTTTGGAGATTGATTACATGACATAGCACACACATGCTTCTGGGATATATTCGTGTATTGGCTATATCAGAATACTCCAAAGGCATACAGGCAGTTCCAAAGTTTGAAAGAATATATCAGAATCAATACATCTGTGATTTATGTGTTCTCTAGCTACCTTTAACACCTCCATTACATTTTCTTTTACTTATTATGTAGCCTAAGCAAAATAAAAGTAGAATAAAGAAAACCATTCTCAAAAAGAGCATCAACATGTATAAGAAATCAAAATACAGAATTGGCCTTGTAAAATTAATTTAGGGAAATTTATAATCATTTCAAAGCCCTGTTCCCTTAGTTGTGTCAACAGTGAAAATTACAGTTTATGAGTTATGAATGGCTTATGCAAAATGGGTGGATGGTAGGTCATACTTCTAACCCTGACGGTGTCAGCCACTTGCATTTTCTAATTCAGACAGCCACGCAGTAAATGATTTAAATGTATTAGTTTATTACCTAAATTCATTAATGTAACTTTCAGAGATGCTTTAGTTAAAATGCTTCAGAAAAAAATATATCCTCATGAGTGGATACACTTTTCTTTGTTAAACAGAAATAACCAATTTAAAATTTCTGGTGCCAGGATTACTTACACGGAAATAGTTACATATTTCCTATGAAAATGTTTATATAATGAATGTTTGATGATCTTGAAACAACACCTGAGAGACTGAACTTTAGTTGTACTATAGGTCAACCGGACTTATGAGAGCTCACTGGAAATCTAACAAGTGTAACTCAATTCGTTTAGAGAAAATGAGTTCACATTTGCAATTGACTGGTAAACAGATTCTAAGTGCTCAGTGAACCAGTGACGGCAGGGACTGCTGGAATCCTTTCATCTAGACCTGTTTGGATTTCCATTCATGAGCAATATAAAAAAGTTAAAATACAAACATGAACACAAATTATTATTCATGCATTTTTAAGTCCATAGTTATTTTATAATCAAAACAATTCCAGTACATTAAATATTCCTAACACTTAAACTTCATTCTAGTGGAAATCTTAAGCCACTAGGTTATATTTCTAGGAAGAATTATTTTCTTTAGATTTGACAGAATGTATTATGATAGAAAATATCAGAATATAATATTACCACAATAGCTGTGGTAATGGTAACTAAAGAGAAATAAAGTTGAAAGCAAAACTGATTACATTGCATAGTATATTTATGTTGTTTGGGAAAAATAATTAATAATTTTAAAATAATCTTTAGAGGAAAAAGAAGAGGGAAGAAAAAAGAAGAAAAAGATTTTATACAGTCATTGCTTTCTAAATATCCATCGTACTTTTTCTTCATTGATTAGTGTTTCCTGTCTTCATCTGCACTTTCTGAGGGTGACTAATATAATTAATGTCACATGGAAATTAAGAGTAATCACAAGACACTACTAGAATATGTATATTCTATATATATATTCATCTAGAGTTCAGCTAAAATTCAAAACTGGCTTATGGCTTATGCAAAATGTGGACTAATGCAAACAGCAACTAAAAGCAGCAGAGGAAAGTTATCATGCCCAGCAAAGTAGCATATATAACTGTGCCTCCATATGTCAAATACTCATATGAAAAGAGAAAATTTCAGTAAACACAGAAATGCTTAAAATTAAGCACACAATTTACATCATGCAGACAAAGAAAGCTATTTATTTCAATAAATATTTTAAGTCATCCACAGTAGTGAATACGGTGAGGTTATTTTTAAAATATTTGTTCTATTTTTTTTAAGATACTTGTTTTAATGAAAGTAAATAAATTATTCTAATTCAAGTGAATGTGCTTTCAAATTATCTATTGATGAGAAACAGCAACATCACAAAAGACAAAGTCCATGAATATATTCTGGACTTCTTATGAATGAAAGTCACCAAACTAGAGAAAAAGCTATTAGCAAACACAATTATGTTTTCATTTTCTTTCCCTTTTCCCTCTTAGGACATACAAACTACAAATATCTTGAACAATGAAAATCCAAAAGAAAGAATGGAGGATGATGCATTTTTACTATTTCTTAGAATGTCTGCATAGTAAATTTAATATTTGGGAATACTATCAGTAACTCATTTGACATTTCCCAGTATCTTCATACTTGAGGCACAAAAATTTAAGAATAGTTTTTATTAGTGAGAGAAACAAATGTTTTGCTGAGTAGAAATAAAACATTTATTTTCTGCAGATGGAAATTAGTCTCCTTCTTTGGAATGTTCATATATCTGCTTTCCATTGCTTCATGTTAGACAAAGGAAAGGTCCATTATTAGGAAAGAAGGAGGTGGCATTTTCCCATCAGAGGTCTGCAGAGTATCTCTGAGACTATCAGAAGCCATCAGTCTATGAATAATACATACTGGATGGAACTGAAGTGGAAACCTGTATCAAATTCTTGCAAGATTCAAAAATAAAAATTTTCTCTCTGCAGAAAGCTTCCTTGTCTGTAGGGAAAAAAAAAGTAAAGGGTCCATGCACCAGACCAGAAACATATGAGCAGATATACTCACAGGAAATGACAAAAGATGACACAAACTGACCCACTCACACTCCTGCATGCACTCACACATGCATGAAAACAGCCCTAATAAACTAATATTACACTGTATGTTAACTAACTGGAATTTAAATAAAAACTTAGAAAAAAAAAACAGCACTAATGAATTCTGCTGAGAATCACAACAAAGACAATTTGCTCCTTCCAAAACATGGCAATATTTCAATATGATTAGCAATGAAAACTTGTCAAAATCATAGGAAAGTTTTAATTATTTAATTATTTGAAATTAATCACATTAACATTTACAGTTTTCTTAGGATAATATAGGGCTATATTTCTTCTAACAATATCTACAAGCATTCCATTAGAGAGACAGGGTACAGGAGGAAAGGTGTAAGGAAGTAACTGTACGCAATGAAAAGAAGGGTGAGATGAAGAGCATGTCAGCTGAAATCACTTGAATTTGAAGTAGAAAAATCACACAGATCATTTTATCTACTCCTACATTTGTTACAGACAGAAATAAACTGGGAGTCAGGAAAACTGGGTTTTATACCATTTTTGCCCCTGAGCAAGTCGCTAGACCCTCCAGTACTAGACCTGTGAGAGACACTGCTCTTAAATGAGGTTTAGTCTCCAAATTCTCTAATATTCACTCTAATTTAATTCTCATCAATCCACAGTTGGCTAAAGAAGAGAGAATGTTCAACTCTCATTGCTGAAATTGTGTGTTATATTCTTTTCAAATAATGAATGCTAGAATTAAATTTTTTAAAAAACATCAATTTGCCAAATATTGGCATTTTTTTACTTGTATAAAATCCTATTAATATTTCCTTTATTTTTGGCCCACTTAAAAATAACTTTGTCCTGAGTAGAATACAGTTAACCTTGTTTCACCTCTTAAAATATATAAGCTATACCACGTATACCGGTGCAGATTTGTGTACTTGTGTTCAAATGCACAATCATACAAAAGTAAGTTTGGTTTTACTATCATGCAAATTAAGTGATTAGTGTTAATAGAAAAACAAGCCTCATTCAGTCCAAAAGCATAACAGTAATATATTTTTGGACCAGACTATCTTCTAGAAAATGCTTATGCTCTTTCTAATGCAGGTAAAAAACTGAACAGACACACAGTTTTATATCATGTCCAAATAGCTTTACTTTGACTGTCTTAATTTCCTAATCTGCTTTCATATTACATCATTATATTGCTTTTTAAGTATATCCTAAAATCAATACAGTATATGACACTTTCATTTTTGTAGGGGGCCTTGTGGACTTCCTACTGTATAATACAGTAAGTTTTAAATGTTCAAGCTATTCAATTATTAATGTCTAATGAAAGATTTTTATTATGTTATTTAAGATTTTAAATTAGAATTCATTGTGATGGTCCTTACTCTTATATATATGGACAGGACAGAATTCAACAACTGAGAGTCATTCTTCTGATCCCATTTCTTAAGTCTAAAGAGTGCCTATTTAAAAGTAGAAGCTGTGTCCAAAAATAACTACTATCTCTATGTGATTATTTTATTAAATATTTGTACTTGGAAATGATGCTATAAACATTTTATTTCACTGTACACATTCAAAATCTAAATATATTTTCATGTGTCTTTTTTCTTGATGTATCATTGAGATGCAAGAAAGAATTACTTTTTAAATAACTTTCCTTCCAAATAAAATGGAATCACCTATGATCAAATATTGTTTCTTCTTTTTATTGAATCCATAAAACTCTGGAAAAAATAGCTGAACATGTTATATTCCTCAGCATGTTTTCATAAATTCACAACCACTTTTGAAATCTTTAGAACACTGATTACAATCAGAAGCATTTAAGACTCAGTCTTCATACGATATCTCTTGATTAATGTATACACTAGAGTAACACATTTATTCAATAGTCTATAATAAGATAATATTATTAAATAACTATAAAGTTAAAATTATTAAATTTAACTCAACACAAAATATTTGTGTTAAGATTATTAACCTCATTACTATTTATTAACTAATTTATAAAAGAGATGATCTTAAAAGTTTCTTCACTCTCAAAGTCTATTAGGTAATGTTTGCAAATCTAGAGGCATTTGGGGTAAAGAAATATGATAGGCGTTTTTCTTCTAAAGTCATTTTAGGGACACCTGGGTGGCTCAGTAGGTTAAGTGTCCAACTTTTGATTTTGTCTCAGGTCCTAATCTCAGAGTCTTGAGATGGAGCCCCAGTCAGGCTCTGTGCTGAGTGCAGAATCTGCTTAAGATTTTCTCTCTCCCTTTCCCTTCCACCTACCCACTCCCACTCACACACTCTTCCTCAAAAATTAATTAATGATTTAAAGTTATTTTGTATTTAAATTGAAAACTGAGAGAAATTGGAGAGAAACCATAATGCACCATCTTCCCACCTTAGAACACATTCTTGGTATTTTTTACAGCAACTTTCAGGTTTGTTTCCCCCACATGCTTAGCTATATGCACTGTGCAGATAGTTTCCAATAATGTTTATCATATACAATTTTTTACCTCACAGGATCATTAAATCATCTTTATGATGTAGAAAAGTCCACAAAGTGTACTTGCTATAATTTATTCACCATTTTCCCCCTGTCATGCCATTAGGTTGTTTCAAATTTCTATCACTATAATTGTATATTGTAATCCTTCTTCCAGATTTTGAAACATTTCTTTATAAGTATTCTCAAGAATAAGATTTCTGAAGCAATGTGAATAGCCATTGTAATGACTCTTGATTCCTATGCTAAGTTTCGTTCTAAAGAGTTTGTCACAATAAACCCAGTAATATATTTTGTCAAATTCCCCAAGAGTAAATTTTAACAAACAAACAAAAAAACCTTCAATTTTGTTTGCAAAATATAATGTCTTCATGGTTTATGTGTCTACTTTCTGGTAAATATAATGAATTATTTGACTTTGAACACATAATTATGTATTATTACTTAAAGCGTTATTAGATCTCTAAATAACATTTTCCATGTGAGTAGAGCCTTTCTATTAAAATAGGTGATCTTCTGTAATTACAGTTCTGTATGATGAGCATAAGGACATCAGGTAAACATCTGAATTTGCTGTAATCTCTTGATAGCACCACACCAGCTTTATTATAATGTTTTGTCTTCCCTTTCCTGTGCAAACATCTTCCCCACTAACAGAAACTCCTAGGAAATTAAATGTAAAATAAATTTAATACTTATCCAGAACCACAGTATTTTAAATACGAATCTGACAAACTGCTGATATTTTTCAATGTATCAAAAAGAAACCACAGGAAGTTTACACTTAATGATAGTTATTTTGGACTTTACAAAATAGTAACCTAATAAAGAAGTGAAAAATATGTCTGTTGTTTTTCAGGTCACAAATATGTTCAGTGTGACACTTAACATGCTCTTTGCAAAAAGCATGATCAGCTCTTAGATAAACCAAGACAAACGGGTTTAAATTCTTTATGACACTAAGCAGTTTACTTAACTCCTCAGCAGCTTCATCTGTCAAGTGAATGTAATAATGAGACTGTAACAGCTTTATTTTGATTATTAAAGAGATGATGCATGCCTGCACAATAAATTCTCAAAATGGCAGCTATCATATGCACACTTGGGGTTTAATTTCCCCCCTTGAACCTCATTGTTCCATTTACTTAACTACCCATATTCCATCAAACAATTTAGGCTAGACTCTAACGAAAGGAATCACTATCATCTAGTTGATTTATACTTTTTAAATATAGCACTGACAAACACCAAAAACAGACACAACTTCCTAAATGATCTGTACCAGTGAATATGATTTATAGCAAATTAGTTATTATGAACTCAAGTATTACCAAGGTACTCGGATAATGTTACAAAGCACAGCCACGTGAAGATAGGAATAGAGTCTATGTCCTTGGATGTGCTGAGGAACAGCATTTTCTTCATGTGCCTTCATATCTGTATTTTAAGAATTAAAGTAGCACGTTTTATATCTTAATAGTATCCTTCTAAAGACATAACAATTTGGAAAGTTTTTCCTAACCAATAATATCAGTGAATTTTAAATATTCTGAGCAGCTTTCTATTTAATCATACTTTGCCACTATATACGTAGCATGCATCCTTTAAAAAAGTAAATATTAAGTAAAATGTATGACCCTGATAAAGCAAAGAGGATCCATAATGTTTTTATAATGATAAAATGTATTCACTTTATAATTTCAATTTTTAAAATAAATATTTAGGAAGTTCTAAAATAAGAACCTTTGTCTCTAATTACTGGGTCACCTAAAATCTGTAAAACACATATGATATTTGTAAAATAGTGAAGTCTAAGAATGTCTTGCTTTCATCAAAATAGGATAGTAAAATGCTACGTTGAATAACATGTCTTAAATTAATGCCTGAGAAGAATTTTTAAAAGGCAATTAAATCTGGGGGAAGGAAGGCATGGAGAATAAGAGAGCCAAGATCCTTTGTATTTTGAGTGTTCTTCTGTGTATGACTTGGACCTCAATGGAGCTTGTGAACCATTAACTTCAATTACACTGAAAACCCCAAACAAACCCTGGGCACTGTAAATCTCATTAATTTTAAACACATGGGGATTGGAATAAACGGACTTTGAATTAACTCAATCCAAATTACCTAATATTAAAATATAATTGGAATTCAGTTGCTTTAAATTGCTTGCCAGTCTGAAAGGCAGACTGCTATACTAAGGTTTATTATAATTTTGTCTATTTTTGAAGTTTCAGAATATCTTTGTAAGTAAGGTGTGACTCCAAAATTGGAAAAATAAAGGAATTTCACTGGTGCTTTCATAGATTTCCTTAGTGTTGGGGGACATTTTATCAAATTTCAGCTCTAGACAAGGGAAATTTTACTATGAGTTGGTTAAACTAAACATTAAATTCGAAACAGAAGTGTCAACTGCTTAATATACCTGATAATCTATTATTCTTAGTAAAACTGTAATTTCTATATTTGTAGGTTTCATATTCTTATCCTTTCTAAAGTGATGAGGCAAAGTATGATTTTAATATCAGCTTAACCATAAATGAAAATATAATCATAAGAGGAATAAGAAATATTTGCTAAATAATAAGAATAAAAAATATGTTGCTAAAAAAAAAGATAAATCATTTTGAAACAGCATGCTACTTTTTGGAAGTCTTGTATCATTATCCCTATACACTTATAAAGTCACTGTTTGAAAATATTATTATAATAATTTTGTGTTATTTGTACTAGCCTTTATAATATTTGATTATTAAGTGTTTGAGAGCTATATTTCATCAGGTCCCCAACTATCAATATTCTAATTATAAGTAAAAAAACTGTTAAATCTAGGATAAATGTGCATGCACTCTATGTCTCTCCAAGTTACATTTCCAGGAAACTATGAAAAGTAGATAATAATGAAAGGCAATCCACCTTCAAAGTCCATGATATGCACATACAGCATGTGAATACTGATACCTGAGAAGAAATGTGCTTTGAAGCCCTTCTTGGATACAGTATTGTCAGATCTGAATTCAATTCTCATACTGTTGAACTGAGATGTGATCACGTCAGGCACTTCGGCACCACAAAATTTACCATGCAACTTAGACTCAGAGGAAAGGCCACTCCAAATCTCCACATAATCGTATTTGCAAACCTAGAAAAGACATGGTTATGACAGTCACCAGATTTTAAAGTATCAAGTGGCTGACATTTACTTTTGAAAAATTTATCATGTTTTTTTCCCCTCTTTACTCCTCTGGTAATCAAACTGGAATTAATACGAAAAGAAAAAAAATCAGGGAAAGAGTCCAAATATGAGGCAGATGGCATGAAAAATAGATTAGAGAATTTTGCTCTGAATATCTCTAAGAGATATATATACCAATGCGTGCCTGTTTACATGTACTTACAGCATGTATCTTTTCCAAAAAATAGAGTTTAGGAGAACTGAGATACATATTTGTTGAGACAATGGTGCTGATGGTTACAAGAACAGTATTTGCTGACTTTTAAAAAAATTGTTTAAATTTTCACTAGAAACTGTGAAAGAACTTGTCCTCTCTGTCTTATTTAATGCCGACAACAGTGACATGAAACTGATACACCTCGTCTATGAAGTGACCATTAACAAGAGAAATGTTCCCTTCTATGGTAAAGAAGAGAAAACTGAGGTTCAGAAATTTCTAAATAACTTGTCCAAAATTATACTTATCATATGTAGCAGTTCAGTGAAAATAGCACAGAGTTTGGCTTGGTCTGATGCTGCCTCCCAGATAAACTATGTTCTAATCAGAAGAGCACCCTTAGGAAATTTCAAAGGAGAAAGACATTGGAGGATACAGTAAAAAGGATACTTTGCCTTTCAAACTTATCAAACAAATTGATATTTCTTAATTTCTTAGAGTTGCCAGGCACTATAAAATTACTCTTGAGCTATGCTGCAGGATTGCAAACAAATCTATGTGGTGGAATGGAGAGGGGAACTGACACTCCGGTGAAGCAGACTTATTCTGATTTATATGTAATGCACTCACAACACCGAAATGGAAGAAGCTAAGTGAATGCCAGGTATTCTCTGCAATTTTACAGCTTCCAACAGATGTTTCCATAATACACTTCTCCAAAGTTTCAACAGGGCACATTCTAAAGAATACATCTTGCATGAATGACCTTATTACATAAATGTCTAATTAGCAAAGTTTCACAATGCATACGATTGAACCCTGGGGCCTGATCTGTACTTTGCAATATGTCAACTCAAATGACTGGTTCTTGTGATATTAATTAGGTGATAAATAAGCAAAATATTGCTAGGAAATTTTTTAAAAGTCTTCTATCTACTTTGTTACAGCTGCAACATCCATTTTCAGAGGGCTCTGACATAGGGTAGGAGAATGTTACCGAGGTTAAAGTTGTTTGACATCATTGATATATATATATCAATATAATAACTAAAACAATGAAGTAAAGTTTTAACTTAACCCAGTAATCTATAAGTCAAGTTTTTGCTCATGCCTTCATTTTAAGTAAATAAGACATCAAACCACAAAAACGGCCTTTCACATAGCAACGTCATTCTAAGTTTAAGAAACTTGGGATATGTTAGAGAGTTTGTGAAGGATCCTCCCAGGAATAAAGACCACCACCATGGAAAGAATGCTTTCATAATACAATGACCCATTTATTTCAAACCCTCTACCCTCCTTCTTCCTGAATATAAACTTCCAGCCTTCATAGTAACATCTTTCAATTAATGAATCAAAATGTCATATCAGTCACAGCTGATCGCTTTAGGGAAAATGTTTAAGAGTAGAAGTCATTCAACAACAAGTTCAGGTCAAATCACAGAACCGGTAGGGAGATTACCATGTTAAAAAAATGTTGCTCTTATGAAAACTTTTCTAAAAACGCTATAAAAATATTTTATTCATTTTAATAGTTCTCTAAATTTCAGGTAATCATTAAGGGAAAATTTTGTTTCATGTGGGCAAAGTATGTTAGAAATATAAATAGCAGATTTTACTATCATGAAACAGAACACACGATGTAAGGAGGATCTTGAAAGGTACACTGAGCTCTAATATTGTATAATTCTCTAAAACATGTAAGTTCATCACATTTTAAACTTTAATATCCTTTAGGGAAACACAAAAGTCAGCAACTTCTTTTTACCTCAAAGCCATCAGTAGCACTAAAAAATCCACATAAGTGCCTTGACTAAAATAGGCAGAATTAAGAGGAAAAAAGTCATTAAAAAGAGATAAAGAAAAGTGGGGGGAGGGGGAAGAAGCAAAGATACATATACAAAGACAACATAATGGTATAAAATCCACAAATATCATCAACAATCATTGCTCAGGAGCATAAATATACTATATTTCTGTTTTTTCACTTCTTTACAAGTGTTCAACAGACGTATACCAGATACAAAATAATATTTGAGTTAATTTTATCGTACTTAGAAGATTTAAATCATGTTCATTTTAAAATAAACACAGAAAAGAAGTCACTGGAAGAAAGGATATGGAAATTAGAATAAAAAAAGAAAGTAGGAAAGCTCAAACAAAACTGAAATTCAGCCAATGTTGACCAACCACGCAAAGGACACAGCTCTGAAAGTTCTCATTTCTAGGCTTAACATTCCATTTGAATTTGGTGTGTGTGCACTAGCACACAGAAACTCTCAAATAAATGATTTCACTTGTTTGAACGTGGTCACATGGAAGAAAACTGGACCTTTATCACAATAAGTTACATTTTATAAAGGAAAGGTAGTGTCAACTAAATGCATCTTTGTTAAGATTGAAAGTATACCAGGTTCTCCTAACTGGCTATATTTGTTATGACTCAACCAGTGGATTTTGAATTTTGACCAACTGTTTGATTTTTTTTTTTTCTTTAGAAAAGTCTATGTGACATGAAGCTGACCCTATTTTTTTCATAGTTCTTTCGTAGATCAAGAAATTGCTATATATTAATACACTATGTAAAACTCCTTCTGGGTATTTTTCAATCTCCCAGAATTAGTCTAAAATATTATCCAATGCCAACAGGAATTACAAGCAATTGTAGAAATGAACAGGAGAACAAAGAAAGACAATGACTTCTCTATGGCTATACTACTGAAATCCATCCTCCCTCCCTCCCTCCCTCCATCCCCTCCTTCCTTCCTTCCTTCCTTCCTTTTACCAGTTTGTCTTCAAAGGGTCCCAAAACACAATAGAAAAAGTTATGTTTATTATTCACTTACTTCATTGCCCTCCAATTCAAAAAACTCAAACTTCATGGAAATTCTGTATTGGGTTGGTGCAACCACCTGCCACACACAATTTTTATTAGGAGGGTACTCCTTGGGCCATCCTGGAGTGGTTATGGTGCCATTAAGCTTGGTAAGAAGTCCACCACAAGCCGCTAGAAGGAAATAAAAAGACAAGGTTTTCCCCTAATAGAGTCAACTTCTTCTTAGCACCTTTCCACTGACAACCAAACATCTCAGCATTCAATTTCAATCATCTTCCAGATTTTTCAAAATCTAGAAAGCTGCAGTCTCTGTTCCTTAGTTTGTAGTATAACTATTTTAATCATCAAATCCCATTCATAAGATGTTAATCCGTAGCTTTTGACCCAAGCAAAATACGGCTATATGACGTTTCAGATCACTCTCAAAGTTAAAGAAGCAATATAAAGAAAACTGGGTGTCAGTTGTCTTATCTTTTAAATGGGTATAATAATATCTATACTATATTGTTGTTATGAGAATTAATGGAAAGATAAGCATAAAGCACACTACAGTCCAATGTAATGAAACCAAAATCAACTGCTTATTTCCTCAAATTCTTTTTCCCCAAGATAAGCAATTCTTGCAGTTACTTGAGTTAGTAAACAAAATAAACTAGAATAAGGAGGTCATTTTATCATTCCAAAACTCCATTTAAAAACTATCTTCATCTTTTGAATGATCTATTTAAAAGGGGTAGCATTTAATATGTTACTTCTCTTCCTTATTGTTAATGAAATTAGCAAAATAATGGAATCCAAACAAAAGAGAACACATATTGTACAAGGTATGTAATTAAATCCAAGGGAGTCAAGAGTTACCTAAAGTAACCAGTCTCTTTAATAGCCTTTGTGTATATACATGCACAAGCATGTGCACGCGCGTGTGTGTGTCTGTGTGTGTGTGTGTGTGTATATTATTGTATTTATAAATGTATTGTAAAAATAACCTGTACTTTCATATTTACCACTTTTTGGTGAATTATTAAAAAGTAAAATAATTATTTTTAGGCACCACACAGAACTAATAGTCATGCTACCTTAGTATTGTCTGGTATATAATGTTCTCTGTTTTAAAGATACTACATTGCCTTCATAACTGTGTCTATTTTATTCTAGTACAGAGAGCAGATTAGTAGTTTAATAGATAGGATGGAGACTTTTGCCCAAGAGAAAATTTTAAACTTTTAAGTAGAAATGGATAGTCTCTGACTTTTTTAATTTAGGTCAGTTAAGGGTATGGCATTTATTCATTAAGCAAGTAAGTCTGTCACCTTTACCACTGTTATGTCCTGTATTACAGATACAGTAGAGAACAAGGTGCTCATTTTTGGGGAGTTTACATTTAACATTTTTGTGAGAACCACCAAAAGTAAACTTAATAATTATGTAACTATAAGTAATGTTAAACTACTACAAGTTCTATGAAGATGATTTTGGCAGACATGTTGAGAGACGAATCAAGGAGGAATAGAACAGAGGAAGGAAGATAAGCCCCTTTATGTTGTAACTTAAGTATGGGGCTTGAAACAGGGTGGCACAGGGGAAATGAGGGGGGAAAAGGAGCAGCTTTAAATTCTGAAGGAAGTGATCATAAGACATGGCAACAAAACATTGTGTAGGAAATATCTTAGAATGTGTAGAGGAAATGGAGAAAACACAGCAAAATCTCTTTGTTTATGAATCATTTATTAATAAAACAGATTTAGCTCCTGCTTTATGTTTGTGCTAGATGCTAGAGATACAGAAATAATTCAGATTCAGGATTCTGCACTTTAGTAAGGGAGAGGGACCCATAAACTATGTTAAGAAAAAGTAAAAATAAATGGTAGATGGATGGATAAAATCTAGACCTAGACAGAGATAAAAATAGAAATAGATATATAGAGAGATGATATCGGTAAATAGGCTAAGAAAGAGAGAGGGAGAGAGAGGAGAAATACATAGAAATATAGATCAGATAAACAAGATGGCCTGGTAACCAAAGGAGGAAATGACTGATTCTGTAACAAGCACACAGGCAACGCTTCATGTTAAAAATGACTACCAACTGAGTTTTATCAGTTGAGGAAAGAGGTTGCTATAGAGGAAAGGAAGGGAGGTAGAGAGAAAGAGAATGAGAAGGTATTAAAGAAAGAAGGAATGGGGTGGCGGGGGTGGGGTCAGGGCCCCGGGGTGCTGCAGGTTCATGCCAGGAGCTTTACATGCAAATGCGGCCCTACCTTCACAGCTCCTCTTGTCAGGTCCCAGCTCATAGCCAGGCTCACAAGCACACTGATAACTGCCCAGTGTGTTCAGACATCGCTGCTCACAGCCCCCACGGTCAGGTTTGGCACACTCGTCTTCCTCTACAAAGATGATGAGAGAGGTAGAGAACAACCAGAGTATTATGTTTTACATAATAAGGTGTGAAATTTTTTGAAAATATGACACTTAATAACTGAATGAAACAAAGACAACTGATTTCTTCTACAAAGGAGCAGGAACAACTTGCAAGCCTTTGATAGATGGCATATCAGAATTCATGCTGCTGCAATCTAAGAGTTGTATAGGAATCAAGGGCAGGACTAGAAACATAGCAGTGCCAACTGAAGATCACCTTATCTTCAACATGTATGTGGGTTGTTTGCTTTTTTGTTTTTTCTAATTTCAAGGTCAAAGGGAATTCTTACAACACAGAGAATGCCCAGAATAAAATAGAAAAACTTATTGAAAAAACAGCTTCACTTATTGATTTCATAGTATAATTTGCTAGATATTCTGAAAAATGCTTTTAAAGAAATGCCATTATCAAGAAACAGTTTATGGTGAATATAAATTGAAAGAAAATTCTGAAATTTACTGAACCTCTTTAAAGTATTCAGTGTTTTTTATATAGACATATTGATCCAGGAAATATAAAAATTCCATATTTTGTAACTACATACACTATTTTATTGTATATGGAAACATAAAAATGTATATATGAACAATATATAAATATATATGTATGAAAAATATACAGTATTAAAACAATGTACATGACAAGGTATTCCCTAATCTCAATTCCCAGGAGTAATCTAGTATGAGTTAAGAAAATAGCAAACAATATTCTTCGGAGAAATTCTGCACTGGCCAAACTCCAAGCAATTTTTTTTTAAGATTTTATTTATTTATTTGACAGACAGAGAACACAAGTAGGCAGAGAGGCAGGCAGAGAGAGAGGAAGGGAAGCAGGCTCCCCGCTGAGCAGAGAGCCAGGGGCAGGGCTCCATCCCAGAACCGCAGGATCATGACCTGAGCCTAAGGCAAAGGCTTTAACCCACTGAGCCACCCAGGTGCCCCGTTCCAAGCATTTTTGATAACCAATATATAAGCGTCATAGGAGAGAATCTTGATGGTATGTTTCTTCTACTATAAAATACTACAAAACTAATGCATGTAAATGTACAATTTAATGGATACTTTGAATGCATTTAGTGAAAGTACCAAGGTTCTCTGCCTTTCAAATCATATGGTGAATACCTAAGTAATTCTCAGGGAAAATACATTATACTGTTCTTTAAATAACACAAATGTTCGGTTATTAATTGCACTAAATTTTGACATACACAACTAAATCCATCATTTATTCTATAAAAGTCAGTGTAAAAATTTTTTTCTCTCCCAGTAAAAGATTTATTTTATAATGACACACTTAATGTTAAGTGCCTATGAATTTTCTAAATGCAAATTTGATGCTTTTTGCACTAAAATGGCTTTGTTTTGGGGTGCCTGTATGGTACAGTTGTTTAAGGGTCTGACTCTTGGTTTTGATCTCAGGATCTTGAGATTGAGCCCTGAGTCGGGTTCAGTGCTCAGCATGGAGTCTGTGTGAGGATTCTCTCTCTCTTCCCTCCATACCCTCTCAAATAAATAAGTAAACTTTTAAAAATAAATAAATAAAATGGTTCTTTTTACTTCAGTAATGCACACCAAATAAAAGAGATGAAAATATACTAAAATTTGGTTATGTGATTTAAAATTAAAGCTGGTCAATAATAATTCTTTGCCAAAGGACATTTTAGATATCAGAAGAGTCTGCTAAAGAGGCCATACATTATTTCCAACATGGTGAAACATTATTCTCTACAAGGTGGTTTAGAAACGCTGTCACCTGGAAATAAATTAATTAATGACTTCCGGATACGAATTTTATGTTGACTACATTGCAAATGTTTTTTCCCTGTTTAAATTCCCTTTCTGGATTTTGCCATTTTGAGCATTTCATAAAAATGGATGGTAGGATATCCTAATGGAGTTCCTGCCCTGTGCTACAAAGTTCCAAATTCTAGTATTTTACCATTGATCTTTTACATCAAAAATCATTCAAATATGCCTAATGCACAGTGCAGGATTAACTTCCAGTATAACTTTTCTGTAGTTCTCTCTTAATTCAACGTTAAATATCACATTTTCCCCTAACAAAATCTCACACTTTGAATTACTTCAAATTACCTTTAAAGAAATTGGCAGCAAACCCTGCCTTGTTCACAGTTCCATCAGAAACAAATTTCATCCACAAGGTATTGGAGGTAGATTTGATATCTTCAGGTTTATCATAACCACAGAAACGCCCTATCAAAGGACTATTTTCACTGGTTCCATCTCGAACTTCTAGGTAGTCATAGGCACAGTTGTCATGTCTTTCAATCTGCAACAATAAAAATATGGGAAGATATATCTCATTAATAGATAAAACAATTTTTGTAGAAAGAGTATTATGTGTTCTCAGTGCCATAGTACTGACAGGGTCATATAACAAGTTACTTATACCAAATGGGAGCTCTTCTTGTGAGGGTGCATGACAATATCTATACCACCCATGAATAAAGGGCCTATTTTTCTGGTTGACAGAGAGAGACACAAAAATCTATGGAACAGTGTATCCACATGCGTCACAATCAACAGAAGTTAGCTGCATTTTAAAAAAGTAAAATAAAATATAAATACTAATCCTTTGGGGAAAAAGAGCTAAAAAAAAATCCAGACTTAAAATTATCATTAAAAATCTGAATGAGATATTCTATAAGCAATGTATAATTTGTTCTGTAACATAAAAATTGTTGTTAATTCATCAACAAAACTATTAATTTATTCATAGAGAAGTCTGATTCAATTCTGTTGATAAATATTGTACTGTTTTAAGTTATAAATCTCTTTTTAAAGGAAAATTTGGTAATATGAAATTACATACTTCCTAGTCTATATAATTCTTTACCGATAGTCAGCATAGCTGTAGCAAGTCTACTGTATGTAGAATCAACACTGGCTATTCCTTCCTCAGGGTAATATGGCTGTTCAGGTGAGCCCTTTTACCCCAATACACTCTTCTTAATCCATATAACTTGCAGGAACTCAATCTCTTTCCTTAAAAAATTAAATGCAAGTAAGATCTCAGACCCATAAAACTTTAGGAAGAGCTTCATGCTCATGGACCTATGTTTTAGCCCCAAACTTCTAAAAACAACAAACCAAAATTTACAAATTGTTTTTCAAACTATAAAACAATTTCTAAATAAAATTCTTACCTTTTTTCCTACATAAAATGGGTATTAGCCCCAAACTCTTAATAAGTTAAATACTTATTAGATATTTAAATCTAGAAAATACAAGCATCTAAAATCAATAAGCTGTGAAAAGTATCACATCCTGTCAACTCACATTCAACATACAATTCACTAATTTATGGAATTCTTCTATTAAAAAAAAAATGAATGTCAGAGAATACATTCATTCCATGGAACCATGGTCTGAATCGACGACTGCTGGTATAGCTGGTTGAGGAATCCATTTCATAATTTTGTCAATACATTAAGAATGATAACCTTCAAATGAGATACCATATGGACAAATAGAAAACAACAGATTCTGAAGGACAGATTAGATCAGAACTAATTACTACATTTGCTGCTCATCTTTTCCCAACCACAAATCAGGATGCATTCACTCTTTCAACGAATATTCAGTGTCTGCTCGATGCTAGGCATTCTTCTCACTGCATGGTGTGCATCCTTTAGCAAAATAACAAAGAGCCTCACCCTCCTGGACCTTACATGCTACTGTTGGGTAGAGAGCAAAGGGATAACAAACAAGATAAACAGTGAAATTATAAAATATTTGCAACCAATAAATTCTATGGAAAAATACAAAGTGAAACAAGGTGAAAGGTATGAAAAGTGGGGAAGCGAAGTTTATAATCTTAAATATATAATCTTAAATTATACCACCAGTACTTGGGTTTGATTTACAAATCATGTTTTTTCCTAAAAATGTGTTTTCTTTGCATATGGAATTAAGGGAAAGAATGGGAAAATGTTCACTATAAAAAGTATCTCACTTTTGGGCACCTGGGTGGTTCAGTGGGTTAAGCCTCTGCCTTCAGCTCTGGTCATGATCTCAGGGTCCTTGGATCGAATCCCGCATCGGGCTCTCTGCTCGGCAGGGAGCCTGCTTCCTCCTCTCTCTCTCTCTCTCTGCTTGCCTCTCTGCCTACTTGTGATCTCTCTCTGTCAAATAAATTTAAAAAAAAAAATCTAAAAAAAAAAAGTATCTCACTTTTAAAGCATATTTTTAAGACTACAGCTGTTTAAATAGAGAGATGGTCTGGGAGAGCTAACAGTGACACTAGTAACTTAATTAGTCACCAGGGATGACAAGGCCAATCTGACCAGCTATATTATATGTTGTCTTTTCTCAGTCTTTAATATACTCCTTCCAAAATCACAGTTCTCTATAAATATGAGAACATTTCCAGATGGCCAAAGGGCTTTCTTCGGTCAAGGGGACACATTTTCATCCCAAACTCTCCAGGTATAGGCTTGATAAAAGAATGAACAACACTGAACTGGTGACAAACTGTAGAAAATAAGAGAGGTCTCAGCAAGCTCCCCTCACCCGCCTGGGTGAGAGGCACAGAACGAATTGCTCCTGACTCAGGAATCATTTTGGAAGAAAAAGGAAAGAATGAATTAGAAGAAGAAAGGAAATGAGAATATACAATAAAGTGGCTCCTTTTCATAGGTCAACTAAGAAAAATAAAATTGGTTGATATTATAAGCCATACTAGAATAAAAAATAAGAAGCCTAATGAGAAAGGGTTTTTAATTTCTGTTTTGAGGAAACAATGGCTTTCAAAAATTACTATGTTAACAAGGAAGAAACCAAGATAGACACTACCAAAAAAGAAACCAGAAAAACCTGTACTTTGTTCTTCTAATAGATACGTAATGGATCTCTTTAAATTTCAACTTAAAGTATCTGCATATTTACTGTTTACTTAGCAAAAAATTAGAGGTTTAAATATTTTATATGATAAACAAAGTATAAATATTTCATGGATAAAAGGCATGAAAATGGTCAATTTTAGGATTAATTCTACCGTTACCTATTTATGAATTATGTATTTCATACATATTAAATATTATGCACTTTGTGTAAGGGGTAACTAAACAGAAACTTATATTGTATTTTCACAAAGCAAATGCAGTTGTTCCTGCCTAGAATGTAAAATGTGCCTCATATATATGAATTTATGATATTTAGAAATGCATTATTCCTTTAAAACACTCCTAGATATCTTATCAATGACCTCAAGGATCTTTACATATTTTTCAGTATAACTCCATTAATTCTAATTGTAATGTGTGCACAATGAATCTGCCCTATTGGTGTTAATTATGATTATAGCTCTTCAATTACATCTACACAAGAGTAATGATGGTGAGCACAAATGAAAGTTTGAGTTCTTTTAGTTATGTCATTTATGTACCATTTTCTTCAGCTATATCAATTACTTCATAAATTAATATACAGAATGGATAGAAATAAATCTGGTTGAGGCTAAAAAGTGGATAAGTCCATTGGTATTTTGCCAGTAAGCTCCATAAGAAGGAAGAACAACAAAGTCAATGATTTATAAAAACAAAAAAGAAAAAGCAGTTTCTTTTCGAGTTACAGCATGGACCCAGTTCCTATCTGGAACCTGAATGCAATGTTGTGCACAATTACACATCTAATAAATATGTTTTGATAATGATGATGCTGATTTATTACAGACTTCAAGATAATCAGAGCACAAACCATATACAAATGTGACAAGTTTATCGTAATGTAAACAGACCTAATATGTACATATAGAACACAACAAAAGTGACAGTAAGCACTGAACAGTTTTTAGGAAACTGAAATTTAAAAGATACTGGAAGGAGATTCAAACACACAGAAAAGAAAGAATGAGTACAAAGGTTAGCCAGAAGGGATTAATATTATATTTCATTACTACGTAGAGCTCAGGCCTTTACTGGCAGGTTAGAAAAGAAGCATGGAAAAGCTGAGTGATGTTTATTTAGCAAGAACTAAAATCAATTAAATGCAACCTAAAGTAGTCAGCCTCTCATTCTAAAACTGCAAACCAATGCTGAGATTTGTGGTCGAAAGAAAGGACCAGGCCCAGGCTTAGGATCCATTCATACACTTGGCCTTCATTTTATAATTGAATTTCCAAATAAATATTACAAAAAATCTACCTAGTTATTTGTAAAAAGCTCTGAAAACTCCAAAACTTCTAGATAATGATTTCAATAAAAGCCCCTCGATATTCCATGAAAAACTAAAAATAGATTGAGAAGTTCTCCACTTGATTCAACAATCCCACTTCGGGGTATATATCTAAAACATTGAAAGCAAGGGGGCGCCTGGGTGGCTCAGTGGGTTAAGCCTCTGCCTTCCACTCAGATCATGATCTCAGGGTCACGGGATCAAGCCTCGCATCGGCCTCTCTGCTCAGCAGGGAGCCTGCTTCCCCCTCTCTCTCTACCTGTCTCTTTGCCTACTTGTGATCCCTCTCTCTCTGTCAAATAAATAAATAAGATCTTAAAAAAAAAAAAAATTGAAAGCAGGGTCTGAAAGAGATATTTGTAGCTTCATGATTATACCAGCATCATTCACACTAATCAAAGGTAGAAGCAATCCAAATGTCCATCAATGGATGAATGAATCAACAAAATGCCGAATATATATGCATGGAATGTTCTTCAGCCTTAAAAAGGAAGGAAATCCTTTCATGTGCTACAACGTGGATGAACCTTGTGGATGTTACACTGAGTGAAATAAGAGTCAGAAAAAGGCAAAAACCAGATGATTCCACTTACATGAGGTACCTAGAGTAGTCAAATTCATAGTGACAGTAAGTAGAAATGTGCTTGCCAGCACTTGGAGGCAGGGAGAAAGAGGAGTTGTTTGGGAGTATAAAGTTTCAGTTTTGCAAGATGAAAAGAGTTTTGGGGAATGGTTGCACAATGTGTATGAACCTAACACTACTGAACTGTACACTTTAAAAATGGTTAAGATAGTAAATTTTGTATTTTTTTATTTTACTCTAATAATGAAAACAACCCTCTCCTATGACTGTTACAATGTAGTTTTAAAATATAATTAATATAATCCACTACACAAATGATTCAATTTCTACAAATAATATAATTTAAAATCGTATACCCAGGGAACAATGTTAAACTCATTATTTTTTGCTTTGGAGGAAAAAATGTTCAATGAAAGTGTGACTAAAAAACAATGTAGATTAACATTCATCATTAAAAATTAATTTGGGGAATTTCCATATCTGTGTAGATTTCCCATATGTATACTACTACA